TCAACGTTGGCGGATTTTGGTTCTTGACATCCTTTACGATCGGTTACGATGCCTAGAGTACAGAGACCTGTACGATTTCGTCAACTTAGTGAGTTTGATAGGGGCCGTAGAGTGGGACTTCGGGAAGCTGGACTTTCTTTTCGGGCAGTTGCAGTTAGAGTGCAAAGAAGTGTAGACACTGTGGTTAGGTGTTATCAGGCATGGCTTCGAGAAGGCCGTACGCAAAGAGCAAGGGGTACTGGACGCCGCCGTAGAACAACAGACCGTGAGGATCGCCGCCTAAGATTATTGGCCTTAAGGGACCGTTTCTCCACTACCAGGTCCATTGCAAATGAATGGTTTGCAGAACACGGAAGACCAATTGGCATGCGAAGTGTTTACCGACAAATGAGAAGTTTTGGCTTATTTTCATACCGCCCACACTGGGTCCTCCCTTTAACTAGAGAACACCGACGTAGTCGCCTTGAGTGGTGCAGACAACGGTCACTCTGGGATCAGGAATGGAACAGTATTGTCTTTAGTGACGAGTCTCGATTTTGTTTAGGCATGCACGATGGTCGTGCCAGGGTTAGAAGGCGACGTGGTGAAAGGCGGAATCCACAGTTTTTTGTTGAAATACGTATCATCACACTGTTAGAGTTATGGTTTGGGGTGCTTTAGCTTATGGTTCCAGGTCACCTTTAATCTTCATCAGAGGTAGCATGAACACGCAGCGTTATATCCACGAAGTTCTAGAACCCCATCTTTTACCCTTCTTGACACCCTGGCAGATCCAACTTTCCAACAAGATAATGCCCGACCACAACATGTTGCAAGAGTCACAATAGACTTCTTTCAACATAATGATGTAAGAGTGTTACCATGGCCACCAAGATCTCCCGACTTATCCCCAATTGAGAACGTGTGGGATATGATGGGTAGGAGATTGCTCAATTTGCAACGTCCTCCTCAGACTCCAGAAGCACTTCGAGAGGAGTTGGCGGTTGCCTGGAATGAGATACCACAGGAGGACATTGACCACCTGATCAGAAGCATGCTTAGGCGCGTTGGAGAATGCGTAGCATATCAGGGTGCATCCACACATTATTAAAGGTCAAAGGGCTTTAAAGCAGTGCAATCATTTTGAAATTTTTATCATTTACTTACTATGCTTCATTAAGCAGTTATACAATATTTTATTAAAATAAAACCATTTAAACTGGGTGTTCGGATTTATATGTCACTTAGTATAAGTAGTAAATATACTATGCTTGAATGATGTATGAATAGTTAAACCGAAGAGCATAAAAGTATGTGGCATAAATATAACAAGTAAAATAATCAATAAAACAGACAAAGACGCAATTATTAAAAGTTATAAAGCTCTTGTAAAGAGTAAAAACATTTAGGGTACAAATATGTTAAAAGATGTTTTTTTGAGGACCATGTGGTCTTTCCAGCTCAAATGTTCATCCACTATTGGACCTAAAAATTTTGTTTGGTATTCTTTCCAGTGACTTATTGTTTCTTCTAACTGTGATGTTGTTCTGTGGCCTTCGTTTGTAATATAGGAAATATTTGGTTTTATCTGTATTAATTAGTAACCTGTTTAATACTTCCCACTTTTGAAAACTCTGCATTAGGATGTGAGCTTTACTTTTTAGATAATCCAGCGATTTTGCTGACACTGTTATAGTTGTGTCGTGTCGTGTACTTTGTTAGTGGCGTTGGGTTTTATCAGACCATGCCACTTACTTCTGCAGCTCTATCTGTCGGTATTTCTATCTGTCGAACTGTCTGTACGTCTGTAGGTCTGTCCGCTAATCTTTCGACCGTCTATAATTTAGAAAGTTACGATCATATTTTGGCTGAATACATCACGAAAATCCATGCCCATCATTTCCGTCGGTCTGTCTATCTGTCGGTTTGCCTGTCGGTCTGTCTGTCGGTCTCTCTGTCGGTCAGTCTGCCTGTCCGTCTGTCTGTCCGTCTGTCTGTCCGTCTGTCTGTCCGTCTGTCTGTCCGTCTGTCTGTCCGTCTGTCTGTCAGTCTGTCTGTCAGTCTGTCTGTCTGTCAGTCTGTCTGTCAGTCTGTCTGTCAGTCTGTCTGTCAGTCTGTCTGTCAGTCTGTCTGTCAGTCTGTCTGTCAGTCTGTCTGTCAGTCTGTCTGTCAGTGTCTGTCAGTCTGTCTGTCAGTCTGTCTGTCAGTCTGTCTGTCAGTCTGTCTGTCAGTCTGTCTGTCAGTCTGTCTGTCAGTCTGTCTGTCAGTCTGTCTGTCAGTCTGTCTGTCAGTCTGTCTGTCAGTCTGTCTGTCAGTCTGTCTGTCAGTCTGTCTGTCAGTCTGTCTGTCAGTCTGTCTGTCAGTCTGTCAGTCTGTCAGTCGTCTGTCAGTCTGTCTGTCAGTCTGTCTGTCAGTCTGTCTGTCAGTCTGTCTGTCAGTCTGTCTGTCAGTCTGTCTGTCAGTCTGTCTGTCAGTCTGTCTGTCAGTCTGTCTGTCAGTCTCGTCTGTCAGTCTGTCAGTCTGTCAGTCTGTCGGTCTGTCAGTCTGTCTGTCAGTCTGTCTGTCAGTCTGTCTGTCAGTCTGTCTGTCAGTCTGTCTGTCAGTCTGTCTGTCAGTCTGTCTGTCAGTCTGTCTGTCAGTCTGTCTGTCAGTCTGTCTGTCAGTCTGTCTGTCAGTCTGTCTGTCAGTCTGTCAGTCTGTCAGTCTGTCAGTCTGTCTGTCAGTCTGTCAGTCTGTCGGTCTGTCGGTCTGTCGGTCTGTCGGTCTGTCAGTCTGTCGGTCTGTCAGTCTGTCTGTCTGTCTGTCAGTCTGTCTGTCAGTCTGTCTGTCAGTCTGTCTGTCAGTCTGTCTGTCAGTCTGTCTGTCAGTCTGTCTGTCAGTCTGTCTGTCAGTCTGTCTGTCAGTTGTCTGTCAGTCTGTCTGTCAGTCTGTCTGTCAGTCTGTCTGTCAGTCTGTCTGTCAGTCTGTCTGTCTGTCAGTCTGTCTGTCAGTCTGTCTGTCAGTCTGTCTGTCAGTCTGTCTGTCAGTCTGTCTGTCTGTCTGTCAGTCTGTCAGTCTGTCGGTCTGTCAGTCTGTCTGTCAGTCTGTCTGTCAGTCTGTCTGTCAGTCGTCTGTCAGTCTGTCTGTCAGTCTGTCTGTCAGTCTGTCTGTCAGTCTGTCTGTCAGTCTGTCTGTCAGTCTGTCTGTCAGTCTGTCTGTCAGTCTGTCTGTCAGTCTGTCTGTCAGTCTGTCTGTCAGTCTGTCTGTCAGTCTGTCTGTCAGTCTGTCTGTCAGTCTGTCTGTCAGTCTGTCTGTCTGTCAGTCTGTCTGTCAGTCTGTCTGTCAGTCTGTCTGTCAGTCTGTCTGTCAGTCTGTCTGTCAGTCTGTCTGTCAGTCTGTCTGTCAGTCTGTCTGTCAGTCTGTCTGTCAGTCTGTCTGTCAGTCTGTCTGTCAGTCTGTCTGTCAGTCTGTCTGTCAGTCTGTCTGTCAGTCTGTCTGTCAGTCTGTCAGTCTGTCTGTCTGTCTGTCTGTCAGTCTGTCAGTCTGTCTGTCTGTCAGTCTGTCAGTCTGTCAGTCTGTCTGTCAGTCTGTCAGTCTGTCAGTCTGTCAGTCTGTCAGTCTGTCAGTCTGTCTGTCAGTCTGTCGGTCTGTCGTCTGTCGGTCTGTCGGTCTGTCGGTCTGTCAGTCTGTCAGTCTGTCAGTCTGCCAGTCTGTGAGTCTGTCAGTCTGCCAGTCTGTCTGTGTGTCGGTCTGTCTGTCGATCAGTCTGTCGGTCTGTCTATCGATCTGACTGTCGGTCTATCTGTCTGTAGGTCTGTATGTCGGTCAGTCTGTATATGCGTCCGCTTATCCTTGGACCGCCTGTTACTTGGAAAGTACTGCTGGGATGTGGGTGAAATTTTACACAGGGTTGCTGCTATTCCAAGAACGAAAAAGCTTTGACATCGGTCCAGTGGCGGCGGAAAAAAGCTAAAAACGTAAATAGTAAAAATTGACCAAATTTAATTTTTTGACGTTCCTTATAATTTAAACAAAAATTACATGTAAAATGTTTGGGGAGGGGTTTGTAGGGATTAGGAAAAGTACGTCTCAATTTTTTGATATTAAGTTATTTATACGCTCCCAAGGTTGTTAATTCTTATTGGACGTATTTAACACATAATAGGTTTCCCCGTACATTTGCCCATAAAACTTTTCATTCTATTCTGAGCAGACAGATCGCGTATGTTGCCATGTGGACTACCGATAGGACAGGGAAAGAATGCCTATGGATTAAGTGTATGAATAACTTTGAGTAACTTTTCTCTCAGAGGATGTAGCTGGTACTGAATATGAACCTTCTTGAACTGATAACGACATTGCATGGGAATTACTCGATGTCATTTGTTTGCAGTAATAATGTAGCACTGCAGCAAATTGAGCTTATGATGCTCCATTTTAAGAGCTTCTTTGATTGTTTACAAGTCATCTATGGGCCACTTTCCTCAGTACCTCATGTTCCTTTTTAATATCCACGAAACAGTGATGCTCTTTCATCGCTTAATAAAAATGTTAGCCAGCAAAGTTTTTTGTTTCTCTCAATACGGGGCTTATCCTAGAACCCTCAATAAAATAGTGACCTGCTAAAACCTCTTATTACAATTTTTCCTAGAATAAAGTCTACTTTCGGTTAGTCAGCCTGATCTAAGTTTCTGGAGACTATTACTAACTGGTACCGTTGCTTTGACAACGTAAATTTGTTTGACCATCTTGTGATCGTTACCCACTGATCTACAGTCTACGGTGTACTGCATTTCAGTTTTGAATTCTTCTTCAAATTGTCGTAATCTCTTAGTCACAGTTGCTTATTAACGACTCAGTTTCGTAACATTTCTACTCAAACTCTAAGCAATTGGCGCACGTAAAAGCGGAGTTAAAAATTTAAAGCGTTAATGTCACCAACTTCCACAAAAATTTCAACTTGAAACGGTTGCATTTGTGAATGTAGGTGTTTTCTGGCACTCAGCAAGTACTCTTAACATGCAAGCAATGTAATACAGTACCTCGTTGTAGAAAGGACAGTCGCTCTTTGACTTCACATTAGTGGTCTTTTTCTGATCACCAATTCGGACGACAACAGCTGAGTCCATATTCAAAATAGTATAGTGTCGACCTTCGAGCACGGCGATTGTAACTAGATACGTTTTCTTCTTTTCTAACATTTTAACCCACTTCTTCTTCATACCATATTAAAACCTCGTGAGGATGTGCTGTAGTATTAGAACACAGTCAACTTTGACAGCTGTCGCGGCTTTTTGCTTGGATTTGAGTAGGTCACTAGTGTATGCTCAGAGATAGGAATACATACTAATCAAATTCAAGCGAATAACCAAATGGAAACGGTATTTACCATTCTGGATTGGTATTTACCGATCCGTTCAAGCGAGCGTGGTTATCATTTTGGATATAAGATCCGTGACATCATGAATCAGCTGTTATATGTCATAGTTATCACCACAAAAATTGTGGTATTCACCCAACTCCGGAGCAGTTTTATGTTTCTAGTTATTATTTGAATTTTGGCGAGTATTGGATATTTTCGTCGTACTTGTGAGGTTATATGCGCGTTTAAAAGACCAGTTTTGCAGTTCCTTATTAAATTGAAAATAATATGGAGCAATTTCAACTAACTTTAAACTATGAAGTCGTAGACTACGAGGTCTGCGTTAAAGACCTTGAAACGGCCAATTTACTTTTGAATGGTAACTATATAGTATGATAAGCAAGGAATAGTATATTGCATACCTTGTAGAAAAAGCCTGATATTTCCGGGCTATTTAAATATTAAAGAGGTGGGGTGCAAGGTAAAACTGACCCTATTGATTCTAGATACCTACATATTATGTGACTTTTTCTACATGGTATGCACATATTCAATAATAAACTCTGCATCAGAACTAGATACCTCTCATACTTTGCTTTAAGATTTATCAATTATGAGAGTGGCATATTTTTTATATTCAAATAGGTTTGGCATGAAATTTTAGATGCAGCTGCTGCAGAGCAATATATTTTTTATATGTGTCCATTGGGGTCTCAGCATGAGCACAATGACGAAAAACAACGTCAGAATGATTTTCAATCTATGTGGTCTATGCCCCACAATGAAAATGACTCGACCATTCAACCATGTATTAATGATATGAGTTGGACAAAGAAGAAGCCTTCTGAAATGGATAATGAAGCAACTCATTTAATGTTGTCCTTAAGAGAGGAAAAAAGTACTTACTTTGACGACAAAAGAACTAGAAAACTTAAATTGTGCAATGACATAGCAAAAGAGTTAGAGGAAAATAATTTCCATCTTGGGAACAAAGGAGGAGAGCGATGTCGTCAAGATTTTGCGAATTTGCAAAAAACTTATTTATCTTACATGAAACATCAAACTACAACAGGAAGTGAGAGAATTGATGACATTCCTCCATTTTTTGATGAGCTCCACTCCATTCTAGGTTAGTTTAATATCTTTTACTTTCACATTACTATCTTAATCAAGCATGTAGTATTGTTATTGTATGTCATGACTATATTTTAATTTTTCTTTTGTCATGTTTGTAATTATAAAAATTCTGGTATGAACCATCAAAAAACACAAACATGTGTACCTTTAGATTCCTTAGTCAAACCAGGTGGAAGTACTTACCAATATAATTTTTAGGATGCAAACATAAGGTAACCCCCATAAAATCTAGAGGATTCAATGGATGAACCATCAGAAAGTGTGAAAAATGAAATAGAACAGCATCAACCAGATCATACAGATTCAGAGGAAACTCAATTGGGTCCCTCAACAACAAGACCAGTTAGCCGATTTAAAAAAACTGGAAAAGTAACACCTTCTAGGCATGATGACTTGATAAAAGAAATGGAAAAGGATAGAAATATAAGAAGTGTGGAATTTAGTTTTTTGAAAGAACATCTGAAGAAAACAGAACAACAAAAGGACAGGTTCTTAGAAATTGTTGAGGCAGCTTCTGGGACAAAAAAAGAAGAAAGAGTGACACAAACGATTCTGACACTGACTAGGATTAATATTGATTAATATTTATTTCTTTTTGTTTTTATTTGAGATTTTTAAATTGTGTAATAAATAGTTTCTTGTTCTAATAGTTTAGTTTTATTCAAGGAAGACATTGCCAATGTGTAGAACTCAATCCATCCAAAAAAAAGGTACACTGTTTGTGATAACTTACAAACCTTGTGTGTAGAATAATAATTAAGTTAAAATGAAAGTAGAGATAAATAAATTAAAATGCAAACCAATAATTGTGTTTTTTATTAAATTTAGATTGAAAAATGGTACAATAATATTATTCTATGTTATATCTGCATAAGAATAAAGTGTCTACAATTGTATTTCTTTTCCGCTTTGCTTCTATGTTACCCCTATCTCCCAGTTCAGCCTGATTTATATTTCTGTCCAGGTCAGTTCCAAAAAAATCGTTACTCCAGGTGTCTTTATGCAAAATGGAAAAATTGTGTAAAACACATGCAGCTGTTGCAATCTCCACGGCTTTGCAAATGTTATAGGTATTTATATATTGCACCCTTCTCCACCTACCCTTATATGCCCAAAAACAATATTCAATTTTTACTCTGTCGGAACTAAGGCAGTAATTGTGAAATTTTTGCTTTCTGGTCACATTGTCGCCTCGGTAAGGAGTAATAAGCCATGTTCTTAATGAAAATGCACTATCACCAATTAGGCGATATTTCTGAGTATCCAAAAAGTAGAAGTTAGGCCCATGTCTCTCAATGTTTTTGCACATAATTGAATTTTCAAAAACCTAAAATTAAAGTATAAAAATATAAAAAAATATTAATGTTTTCCTATAATGTGTTGTATACCAAAATTTAACTGGTGCAAAGCTTTTTTCACTTCCTCTTAAATACTAGTTTGAAGTTTTATTGCAATATAATAAAGACGTAATAAGTATTCACCTCAAAATGGGGCATTTTCTTATTTTTGTTAACACATATAGCCGTGAGTCATGAGCAGATCCAGGGTATCCTAAAAGCACGTAGGTGTTAGAATCACATATTGCCATGAGATTTATAGATGTTCTTCTATAGCGGTGTTGTTGACTTTTTTCAACATTTACAAATAAGTGGGTACCATCTACTGCTCCAATAACTGAAAATAATAATAAACTGAAAAGTGGAAACAGATGTAACTTATTAACTAAATACATATGTATATTCCAATAAATACTATTACAGGACAGGTTGTGATGGCATCAATTAAGACCAACCAAAAAAGTTTGAATATAATATACAGTAATTGTACTAAATACCTATTTGTCTCTAAAACATTAATGTCTAGGCCTTACATGAGGGGGAAACCACCAAGGAAATATTGACCGGTTTCTGGGGAAATATACTGAGAAAATCTGTGGAAATATAACGTAACAATAGGGAAGTAATTGTGTGAAATGCAGAGGGCGGTATCAGCCTAGGTTTGCAGTATTCAGAAACGTTTACTTACCTGGATACTTCTTGAAACCTTCACTAAAGTCATTTCAGCTTTATTTTTGGGAAACTTGATGTAGGCTGATTTTAGTTTTAGCATGGAGTAGAGCACCTCATTTGTTATACTCATCACTGTTGTTGGGGACACTTTAAATCTAGTTCCTATGCTCAACAAAGTATCCTGTGTAGCCATATACCACAAGAATATTAAAATATGGCCATATAAACTCACTGGATAGTCACCACCTGTATATATGGCTCTGCTAATATCTTTTTTTCGTCGCTTTTTCCTATCATTTCAGCTAAATCAATAAACGTTTTCTCTGACATACGGAAAAGTTTAAAGAACTGGAATTCACGACAAACTTGTGTGAACATAAGAGCGATTTTCTCAAGTGATTCAACACATGAACAATATCTTCTGAGAAAAAAAAACATTTTTCCCATTAATATCACGAAAGTTTTCTTTTTTACACTTTCCATATCACTGTTGTAGACGCACTGATTATTAAGTGATAATAAAGGTAATCAGAAATTAGGTATTATATAGTACGACCTTTTCTAAAATGAACAACCTGCAACAAAACAGCGGTTAAAACCAACGCGTTCAAGCGATTCGAGTAACTGACGTCATCAACCCGTGTGCCCTCTTAACCATACTATAACCGCGGTACATAACACAGAAATTTTGGTTGTTCGCTGGGATTTGATTTGATTTAATTCACCGGTTGACCTACCGGTGCAATCGGTTAGCCAATTTTGCATCCTTTAGTTTCCGCTGGAACGACCGTTGTACATCAAACTTGTCCTTATATTGATGGTGGATATGCCACCGGTGCCAACAGCATCCACCGACGTTCGTGCTCGGCATGGCTATCATGTAAAAAACCTACAAAACGTAAAAAAAACCTATAGGATGTCATCTTGCAAACTAGGTAGTTTTTAGAGCGCTAACAGTCATTCCACGATTGCGCGCTAGGATCGTTGTGAACGTCCATCTAAGGAGGAATCACTTAACTGAACTACACGCATTATTGGTTGCATATGTTTTGTGAGGCCAAATGGTCCTTATCTGTAGTTTTTATCTCTGAGAAGAAAGTTGGTTGAATAGCGTCTGGATGATTGTGCCTATTGGTCTGCATGTGTATAAAATCAGTGATATTTGCTGTGTGAGAAAATCATCACTGAATAAGCTCCCAATGAAGTATATCTATTGGCTGTGCCCGACAGGTTATTTTTTTGTAGTGCTATCTGAAGAGAGTTTATGTTCAAATTTATAAATTACGAAAAACTAAGGAGAATTACGGGAACCACCACCGCGCCCGCGTTGTGTGTAATTACTGTTAGCATGCATATGGCTTGAAATTCGACAGTGTACAGTGAATATAATTATTTCCTTATCTCTCTCATTTTTGAAATTTCATCAAATTTCTTGTATATGTAATTTCCAGAATGGATAAGAAAAAGCGGATGCGCAACTAATTTCTAGCTTTGAATCTCAATCAAGTGCATTTGAGACAAGAACCCAATGTAATTATCATCAACACATACAACTTACAGCTTAGACCTCCAGTAATGCCATCTCAGAAGCAGATTTTACATCACATCAGAGCCAAAGATTGATAACAAGCCTCATGGCATGTAGGCAACACGTACAACTAAGTGCTAAGTTAATATCCTGTAGAAAAACCTACATAATGAAAAAAAAAATCGGCATAATGTCACTTTTCAAGATACGTAAAACCCGTGCCGTGCGGTTGATCCACGATAACCTAG